CTTGCGGACATTTTCCAAATAATAGTGAGTGATGTGCTCTAAGCCGCCTCCAATATTGGCTTCATTATCTTGATGGTTTGCCCTGGGCAGATGGGGAGAGAGCGATGGTGGATGTGGTCCTTCGAAAACTGCTTCCTTTGACCCAAATTTACTTTTCTTTTTCCTATGGCCTTGACGAGGATGAGAAGTTTGATAGTGCTCCATATTAGAAAAACTCTCTCCACGAGCCATTTCCTTAGTCTTGTAAATTATCCTTCAAACAAGTAATACAAAATGCACAAACCATCAATCCATACATAACATACCATAAAAAGGATAATTCAAAGAACTCTCATAAACTCTCCATGTTTCCCCCACACTTGAGTGAAACTAAGGCGTTCACAAAATAGAGGACATCGATGAAGATGGAGTTCAATGACAAGGAAATATGCTAGGATCTCCCCAAACAACACACAATCATGTAAATAGGAGTTAACAAGTGCATGGAAGTTGATGCTAAATGAGTAGGATTGAAAAAAATGGGGACTTTCTACAAACATTTGGTGGGCGGTCTTTGAAAACTCAAGAAATGCATGAAAATAGCCCACCAAGGACTCCCAAAATGCATAGCAAGGTCATTAAAACAAAGAAAGCAATCCTATGCCATAAAAAAACCATGCCAAGATGAAGATGAGCATTATAAGTCCTTGAAGCATTCAACACATGTTTGGCAGAACAATGTAGTTAGAATATGGAGAAATGAAAAAGTGTACCTTATCTTGCTAGGAGACATTTTGGAAATTCAAAAACAATCAAAATTATTTCCCAAAAGATGTTGGAAAGTGAAGTAGAGAAAGTATGCTCAACAAGCTAAGAGAGGTGGAGAAATAATGCTTTTAGATTAATAAAAGAGATGGAGAGACTACACATTGATGCAATATGAAGTTTTCCATTAAATAAACACTGACAAAATCGTCGGTTGTTATCACGAGATCGCGACCGCGATCTTTTCCCTAAATACAAACATCAAGGTTTCACCTACTTCCTAATCTTAATCATTCATCTAAAGAAATCAACCATCCAAAGACAAGGCGAGGCAAGGGTAAAGTCCTATCAAGCATCATCTACGCAATTCTACTCATCTACTTAATAATTATTCAAAAAGAAAAAGGAAAAGATACGCGAACCGAGTTGTTGGGTTGCCTCCCAACTAGCGCGTCTATTAAAGTCTTTACGCCGGACTTGACTCCTTGTAATCAAGAGGTAAGAGCTCTGTTCTACACCGATGATTCTTCGTAGAAATCATACTTGTGGTGAAGTCCCAAGTGATGACCATGGAGTCGCTTTGATGTTGCATCCGGTGCTTTAGATTGGAAAGAAATGTTCGGAGATTGGTGCTCATGATTGAAGGACCTAAACTCCCTTTTATAAATGTCCTCGTCCGTGAATGGCTTATACAATTCCCCGGATTCTTCATATTCAAATATAGGAGCTAGTTTGCTCTTAACATTTCACACGCTTTCCTTGGGGTATCTTTATTCAAAGATGAATCTTCTAAGTTTCCTTCTATGATCATTGTCTTGATGAGAAACCTTGAACAACTCTTGAGTAGACTTTTTGTAAGGAAACTTTTCTTTACCCGGTCTCTTCCTAATCTCGCAAGAGGGTCAACATGAGAGACCATATCGAACCATTCTATCTCGGGGCTTGAAGGAGGTATGGTAGGAGGGCTAGCCAGCTCACAATCCATTTTGACATTGTCCCATTTGTAATACTTGTGAAAATTGGGGATTCTAGTCATCTTGTAGCTTATCTCCTCCTCTCCAAACCTTAAGGTGATCTTGCTCCCACTTACATAGATAATGGTCCTTGCCGTAGCTAAGAATGGTTTGCCTATGATTATCGATGCATCACACCCTTCCGTGTCGAGAACCATGAATCCATAGGATAAACGAAATGGGCGCACTTCACCAAGAAGTTTTCTATGACTCCTCTTGGCTCGACAATGGACCTATTGGCCAAATCAATCCGCATTTTAGTAGGTATGAGTGGTCCAAGGTCTAACTCACTGCATATTCTTTTAGGCATAATATTGATACTCGACCCCAAATCTGCTAGCGGATTCCAAAAAGTTTTGATTCCAAAGGTGCATGGAATAGTGAAGATTCCCGGATTTCTTAATTTTGGAGGGAAGCCTTCACATCAGATGGATGTCGAAGCAACTTCACTAATGGAAACCATAGCTACTTCTTCCATTTTCCTCTTTCCCGACAATATTTCTTTCAATAATTTAGTATATTTTGAAATCTTCAGAACCATGTCTAGGAAAGGGACTGTTACCTTCAATTGCTTCAATGTATCCTTCCATGGAGCACATTCATAATATAGATCACTTTCAAATAACCGTCTACGATAAGGATCTTATGGTTTTGGACCGGGTAAGTGGGTCTTCTTAGACTTCTCCTCATCTTCAATCTTGATTTTGATAGTAGGTTGCATATCTTCGCGAACTAACTCTTCTTCTTGAACAACTTCACATTGAACTTCTCTTACCGGTATCCTCGGTGTTGAGATAAGAACCTCCTCCAATGGTCGGCCACTCCTTAGAGTTACCGCATGACATCCCTCCTTAGGATTAGGTTCGGTATTGCCCGGTAAAAGTCCTTGTGGTCTTGACGATAAAGCTTGTGAAATGAGCTTAGTTGGGCTTCAAGATTTTGAAGTAAAGCTTGTTGATTCCTTTGACCCACTTCCAAACTTAATCATTTTTTCGTAGCATTCTCTATAAATTTGTCAATAGCCTCAAGCTTCTTGTTGCAGAGTGTAACGAATCGACCTACCAAGTCTTCAAGTTTAGAGACTCGACCATCGGAGGGTCGACTTTGTTCTTGGTACGCTCCATGGTATGATGGTTGACTCGGCCTTGGATAAGCATTTTTCATAGGAGCTTGAGACTGAAACCCCGGAGGCTTTCTATCCATCGGAGAAGACCAAAGAAAGTTAGGATGGTTCTTCCAAACCGGATTATATGTACACCTATAAGCCGCTCAAATTCTGATTGGAGGGGGAGACCTAGGAAACCACTAGAGCCTGAGTGAGAGGATCGGTCCCGTGACAAATCGATCTCTAGCGAATCCATCCCGTGACAAATGGATCACTAGTTGCTCCTCCTAGCGGTTGTCCTAGACTTGGTGAGTGGATCGATCCCGTGACAAATCGATCGCTAGTGAATTTTTTACTGTGACAGATTGATCACTAGTTCCTCACCCCCCCCTCCCCCCCCCCCCCCCCCCCCCCCCCCCCCCCCCCCCCCAAAAGTTGTTTGCTAGATAACAACCTAACCGATTGAAGTAGGGATACATGGATCGACCCGGGTCGATATTTAAATACTTGCCCTATACTGCACCCGGCTAGAGTTGGGCTCTAGTCGAGATTAAGTTGTGGTGTGATTTCGTGTGAGTCAACATTCCTAACTGTAACCGCTAGATCTCGTCCATCGTGGGGCTGGCAAAGTATTCTCCACGACCGCACTCTCGTGCAAAGAAGACTTCGGTGGCAGATTGGGGATGGGGCCCGGGCCTCTATCCATCATTCCAGCTGGGTATCATCCAATCACCCACACTCGCCTAGGTGTTATCCTCATGTAATTACGAAGGATAATGACCCAAAGGTAGTAGAGCTTATTGATCTTCTGAGGGGAGGATGGTGTTGCCAATCACTTCAGCAAATGTTCCGTCTGATGTGATCCGTTACATCTTGGCGATCCCTTTGCCTAATAGGGTTGCGGAGGATAGGTTGGTATGGCATGATACGAGTGATGGCGTGTTCACTGTCAAATCTGCTTATCACCTTGCGGTTTTGGTTGATAGGCAGGAGATGGGGAGTGGTGCCCCATAGTGAGCTGGATGGATAGGGCGAGTTGCATGAAAATGTGGGAACTCAAGATCCCACCTATGTTAAAGTTGTTCCTATGGCAAATCTTTCACCGTATCTTGCCTACGATGGAGGCGTTAATTGAGAAACGGGTCCAGGTGTTGCCTCGATGTCCTGTGTGTTGGGTGGAGTCTGAAATGATGGAACACCTTTTTTGGGAGTGTCCAGTCGCTATAGCTCTCTGGACTCATTCAGCATTGGAGCATCTGGGCAATGGTTTACCGAGACAGACCTTTCCCTTCTTCCTAAAAAGTGCTTTCTTAGGATGACCCAGCTGGCCAAGAATGTGGCTCTGGTGGCGTTTTTATGACGTATTTGGAAGTCTAGAAACTGAGCTGCCTTTGAGGGAAAGCAATTCTTGATTCCTCAATTACTATAGCAATATCACCAGTAGATTCATGAATGGGTGTCCTTACCAAAGGATAGAGTGGGTCTGGATCGGGTACCTTGGCAGCAAAATATGGGGGAAGGGGATTTGCCGAGTGTCGTCTGTATGTGGGAAGGTGCGGTAAGTGTTGACTCACATTCAGCGGGAGGGCTGATCTTAAAGGACAGTGGTGGGAATGTGCTATTGGCAAATGGAGTGTTTCTTCAAAACATTATGGACCCTCTAATGGCGGAGATAATTGTTCTTCGCGAAGCTATGCACTAGTGTCAGACTCTTGGCATCCATCAAGTTAGGTTTGAGGGTGATGCGAAGGTGCTTATTGATAAGGTTAATGCCAAGGACGCGCATGATGCTCGTGTCAGGGTTATTATTTCTGAGATTTTGTGTCTGCTGGCTCTGAATAGTGGTTTCCGGGTTTGATTAGTAGGTTGGAATAGCAACTGGGTCCCCTTTATGTGGCTAGGAAGATCCTGTCTTTGTCTCCGACTTCGTGTCGATTGTACGATTTTCGTGCTTGGGTTGTGTCTAGGATGTAACTTGTGATCTTTTTCTTAATCAATATGATTTTCTTTTGTAAAAAAAAATGAACCGATATAAATTGAATTTATTCTGATAAAGCTATACTACTTAGTACTTACTAAACCGACCCAATGATATAAACCGGTTTAATCACCTTTGATATCCAATTATCCGCATATTAATGCAAGTCAGAGGAGGGGGCATATATGTCTTTCTGTATTCAATCTTGACGCCTCTGGTAGACTGTTACCCTAAAGGCCTAAACCCTCAGCAAAGCGGAAGGTGTTTCTTCTCAGTTGCAGCCTTACAGGGGAGTCCAAGGTCTGTGCCGCCGGTGAGATATATCGGAAGAGTTCTCCGTCGAAACCGTATACGCCCCAAAATGGGAATGGAAAAAGAGCCTCAGAAACCTCAGCAAGTCTCATACACAGTGGAGCAGCTGGTAGCTGTGAATCCTTACAATCCCGACATCCTCCCCGATCTTGAAAACTACGTCAATGAGCAGGTTCTTCCCACTCTGACTCTTTCCTTCTCCTTCTTACAATCATACATCCATTATCGGTCTTCAGTTTTTGTAACACAATATTTCATTCCAGCTTTATTGTGCTGTGAATTAGGATTTGTGATGTTCGGAGTTGTTGTCTGTAGACTGTAGTGGAATTTTAGTTTCGAGTCTTGTCTGGGAGACTTCAGTTTATTGGGAAACAAGGTCATCGACTTGGATTTGTGTTAATATCTGCTTCTGGCGATATCGGGGCATGCATCTGCTTGTGTTGAATTTTGATTCCGTTTCAGTCTTTCAAGTGTCTATGCCAGTGCCTTAAAGGATTTTTCATTTAGGAGCATCTATCTGTCAGAGCAGCGAACATATGAAAAACAATTGTAGATCTTGAACTAGAAAAGGGTCAACCCAAGGATGCACCATTTGATACTCCGAACTATGGCAAACATTTATCGCTGATGATAGGATCCATGAGTTCTTTCACTTTGTTAGCAGCCCAAATGGAGCAAATTCAATGGTTATTAAGATGTTTGTTTTCTATTTGCTTATGATCAGGTTGCCTCACAAACATACAGCTTAGATGCAAATCTCTGCCTTCTTCGCCTTTATCAGGTGTGATGACTGAACTTTTTGTTTACTTACAACTCTTGGCTTCCCTTACACCCAATTTGGTGCTTTTGGCATACTTATTTTTTAATGGATTATGTGAAATGATACAAGTTTTAACCTTTAGTGTTGCTTTATGTTTCTTACTGCAGTTTGAGCCAGAGCGGTTGAGCACCCAAATTGTTGCTCGCATTTTGGTTAAGGTTTGGTTGGCTTGCTTAAATTGGCCCACACTTTTATTCAATGTCTTCCAACTCTGTTTTGAGGTGCACATATTGTGTTTATGCAGGCCCTCATGGCAATGCCGGCTCCAGATTTCAGCCTTTGTCTCTTTTTGATCCCAGAAAGAGTGGTATGGAATGATTGTACTTCATTTCTGTTCGCTTCCTATGGAAGTATTTATTCTAGCACTCTTTCTATTTTCATCATCCCTTCTGTATTGTCTTGAGGGTACTCTTCATGCATTTGGTTGCAAAACTCGTTTTTTTATTACTATTGTATTACTTGCAAACATATACTTAATTCTTTTGTGTGAGCGTATTGGCTCACCTATTACATGGTTGGTTACTATCTCATGGGGTTTAGCATTTTCTGCCTTTTCAATTGTGAGAACCTTCACCTTGGTTAACACTCAGCCAACCAGTCCAGCAAATATTAGATTGTAAATCTTTTTTTTTTTTTAAGTGAATCTTTTGGTTTACAAGTTTTATTCTATCAGCAAATGCTGCAGATGCTTGGTTAACTTTTTGGTCCTTTTGAGTAGTTTTTGCCCAATATTCAGCCTTCACCCTTATGTTCCTGGGTTTAATTTGCCTGCTTTGATTTCTGATCATCAGCAAATGGAGCAGCCTTTCAAGACTCTGATTGTCCTCTCCCATTATCTTGAGGTATATAATAGATATTGCTGGACTTCTAGGTTCCCTTGAAAGCCAACATAATTTTTGAGCTCTCTTCATTTTAATATGCAGACTGGTGGATTTCGTCAATTCTGGGATGAAGCAGCTAAGAGTCGACATATTGTTGAAGCTGTACCAGGTAGATCTGCTACTATTCATTAGGTTCTTTTAGTTCTGGTCTGTTTTAAGTGTCCCTGTGAGTATGATGTGAATCGTCATATTCTGTTGTGCCACTTGATAGGCAAAGAATGATTTTCTTGCATGTTAGTCTGATGCAGAGGATTGAGACTTGTGACATCTTTTTGAATGGCATGGCTTCAGTCCTGAGTGCTTATTTGTGAACACATGTTTGTATCAGCTTTACTTGGACAACCCTACATTATGATCTACTTTTACAAGTCAACAAATTTAGTTGCACCTTACTGATATGCTTTGTCTGTTGCATTTTGTTTATGATTTGAGTTTCTCTTGGGGCAGGGTTTGAGCAAGCTATCCAAGCCTATGCGGTTCACGTCCTTTCCTTGACCTACCAAAAGGTTCCTAGGTCCGTCTTAGCAGAGGTATGCATTTTTCCTGTCAGAGCTCACAATGGTTTTTGCTTATCTTCCTACTTCTACCAGAAACTGTATGAAGCTTCTTTAGCTCCCCCTCCTTCTGCAGAAGCTTTTGTTGCTCAAATACAATCTCTTTTCTAAATCATATGTAATTTTTGAATCCTAGGACATCAGCTGTGCCCGTAGGTTATTATAGCTGGCAACTAAACAGCATTTTTCAACTGATCTATTCAAGCCCTAGATGGTAGCTGCTCTAGACATAGAACTAGAGAGTTTTGTGCAGTCCCTAGGACTGCCAATAGTGCGGCGAGAAAAGACATTTCTCTGTCAAGCCGTGGTTTCTTTTTTTCTATTGAAATCTCTGGTAAAAAAATGCATAGCCTGTGTACTATGTAAGATGTGTGTCCCCAATTTCTGAGTTCTGACACCTTGTTCATATTTACTTCAGGCCATCAACATCGAAGGCTTGGCACTGGATAAATTCCTTGAACAGCAAGTGGTAAACTATGGGTGGGTTATAGAGATGGGCCAAGGTGGTGGACAAATCATTGCTCTTCCAAAGACAGAATTCAACCATCCTGAGCTCAAGAAGAACTCTGGCGATGCAGTCCCATTGGACCACATCACTCGCATCTTCCCCATTCTTAGCTGAATCTTTTTGAACATCACAGCTGGATCTGGCTCAACATATTATGAAGCCGGCAGTGACCTGCGAATTAGGGTTTGGGACCTTATGTTTTAGTATTTCATGATTGCCTGAACAGCCTTGCCTTGAGTCTTCATGGACATGATAATAGACACTAGAAAACTGACCTTCAGAATCTCAGAGGATCATATGAGGTGATAGGTGATTGCTTTGCTGCCTTAACTTATCTGGACCAGATTTGGACTTTGATGCCCTTGTGTTACCGAGAAGAAAGACCATACATAAATGGTGCGCCTGATGATGAGACCGATGGCATAATAGAAAACATTGTGCAGTATTCTATTACTGGTGGAAGAAAGAAGAAAGAAAGAATATGGTTCTACTTTAAAGAAACCAGACAAGACAATACAGAGACCAACCCAAGTAATTTTGGTAGCTACAGGACAAGACATTTAACATCAACAAGTTCTACTTGGCAGCCACATGCTCGAGGCATTAGGATCTGCATAACCTCAACCATGAACGATCACATTAGTTCCTATATAATCTCAAAGCACTTTTCCCATCCCCCGAACAAAATGTTTACCTTCAAACAACCCTACCCATCCTTCTTCATACAACTCATTCAAACATGTAAGCAAGCAAAATAATTAATGTCACGACTCACGACCACCATATTTACATAACACCCCCTAACTTTACAGGACAGGACCACCTCCAACAACAAAAAGAACGCTTTTTTCCTGGTTTTTTCTCTGGGTTATTTGGCTATTTACTCTTTGCTTAGTGCTGGTTCCTTCCATCTTCGCTTGCGTCCTGTGAGGATCCTCGGTTGGAATAATTCAAGTGTTGAGTGATGTCCTTTTCTTTCAACGGGAACCTTTGCTACTAAACGCTTGTTAACCTCTTTACCGCCTATTGTTGGGCGTGTCAGCAACTAAAATCTTTGTGATCAGGTGAAGTCATAAGGTGGATAGGAAGTAATCATCTTGTGATGAATACAAGCAGTAGGTATCTCTCAATGGCAGAGTGTTTCTCCATAGTTTACCCAATGAACAAAACTATCCGAGTAGTCCTCCAACGCACTGGGATGCTGTGAACTACTAGCAACAGATAACTCCATTTCAGTCTCCGGTCCCTTCAAATACACGACACAGGATTTTAACACAACCAACAATAGGGAAACGAGAGCTTCAAGAAAGCAAACATCCAAGTGGATAAAATACTCACCACCCTCATGGATCCATATTCACTCGCAGTTGGGGTTGGCTCCCTGGTCATCATTCCATTTGTGACGCAACTATCTGACGACTGCCCAGCGCTGGGGGAGTTTGTGAGCACTAATGTCCTGCATTAATTAACGAACAAGGGATTGGTCTAGTGGTAATACTATTAGCCTTGAACTTGGAGGTCCCAGGTTCGAATCCCTTCAGTAGTACCTATTTACAAAAAATACCTATATCACCCTTACTAAAAAAAAAATGTCCTGCATTAATTATTGAGGAAAAATATAAAATTCCCAGTTATATAACAACCACAAAATGCCACACCCTTACTCTACCAGAGAATAGGCATCTACTCCGAGCATTCCTTATGAACGGGAATGACAGCCACGAGGGACAATCAAACAGGAAAAGCCAGTCCATTCTGAAACATTATATTACGAGCTCCTTAACTCATAAATGAGCCTGAAGGTTAGAGATGGAACAAAATTTACCTATCAAATGGCTCATCTTCAAATGAATTCCCGGATGAGGACAGCCAGTCCAGATCAACAAAATTTGACCAATTAAGTGTGTCTTCAGAAAAGTAAATATGATCACTTTCATGGATTTGATCTCTTTGTATGTCTCCAAACAGCTGTCTGTGACTGTGAGGTAGTTGGGAAGTGTGCCTAATTTTCACCCAATAAGTGTCATCATATTGTAATAAGATCCCCATAAGAATACAGATGCACGATATTTACAAGGAAAATCATTTTAAATAATAAATTTTTAAGTTTACTGAATGACAGAAATGCATTATAGTTAGTATACTACCTTCTAATTTACCATGTTGCTTTGGCGAACCACAACCTATGGATGCTTACACATCCAACACTACCTTCTAATGTCAAAGAATAAATGTTTTAAGTTCCAGAAAAGATGTATGGAATTTACTGATTGATAAAATGCATTATAATTACTGCACGTCTAGCAGAAATTAGTCATAAAAAACTCAAAGAGTGGGGAAAACTTGCAGAGAAATAACCTCTATTATTGAAAAAAAATCTGCTATATTTTCTTAGGAGCTTGAAGGAGTAAATAACTGCAATATGAAACCTCTAGCAAACAAAGGCATAAAACACTAGAATTCATGGTCAACATATGGGGGCTTCCGGCAAAGACAGCAATCTAGAACTAAATACAATAATCACTTCAGCTGTAAGTCAAGCAATGAAATTACAAACCTTAAAAATGCCAAATTGGCATTACAGGTTGATATCTCAGGGGAAGACTCTGAGGGAATGTTGGCTGCTCCATGCCATTGTTCAGGAAAAGCTGTTCTCGAAAAGTTATTTCGGTCAAGATTTGGAGCAGATACTGGGGAACAACTGTGGCGAAGAATGTTTCCATCTGACAATGACCTTTTGAAAAATGACCTAAACAAAGCATGGAAATCAACCATCAAGGAGGGCATGAAGAAGAAGCAGCGAAAGAATATCATGCATTCAGAGGACCCATCCAAACCCGGTTCACAGGGCGAGAGACTTTGGCCTACTGGGGTAGCTGGGCCAAACCCTAAATGATCAAATTAATAAAAGAGGGAGTGAATCACTTCCAACTGAATAAGATGAGATTGGAATCCCTTTTTGTAGAGTTCACCATGGCAAAATCATACCAATGTGACAGGAGTACCCTCCAAATTTTATCAAGCAGTTAATAAATCACAATGGTTAGAAGATATCTTTCTGTCGGGATAAGAAAATTCCTAGTTTCGAAAAATGAAAATAGTTAATAAATCAAGAAAGAGAAATGGAAGGTTTACTGGGTTTACTGAAACATCTCGACAGTGCAATCCCTCAATGTGCACAAATACTACCATATCTAAACATCCATACAAGTTCGCAAAAAAATCGAACTTAAATTAAAAACTATGTCTGGAAATAATTATGAACTTGTAAAAATTACAAGAGAATGATTAACACTGGTAAAAATCTCAAAAGCAGATGCTGGGATTCAAAAGTACAGTGATGGACAAAGACAGTAAATTGTAGCACAGTATGCACAATGGAACCGTGAAGTAATGGTCTGAATAAACTACCTGGTATCAATGTCATGGCCATTACTTCCTAAGTTCAAGTGTTGGTCTGAATCCAACTCCCACAGTGCAGGTTTCCCATGATGTGGCTGGAAGTGACCCAAGAATCTGGTCCAATAGAAATTTACAGAAATTCGATTAGCTGTTTTACCGAAGTAATAGAGAGTAATTCAGATTGAAGGAAAGTCTGTCAAAGTGACCGCACTGAAAAGTCAGAAACTACTTACACGTTAATAGCATCCTGTTTCTGTGCATCCATGTATGCGTTGCTGTAGTATCTTTGAAGAGTTCGGAAGAATTCCTGAGACTGGGTTGCTGCTTTCCACTGACCCCGTCTCTCCGAAAATATCTATAGGATGTATTAGTTTAAGAAATAGAGTAAGAAATCTACAAGTCATATTATGTTCCGGATCATTCTCATATATGCACCGAGTTTCATATGTGGCTCCATATCATTTTAACCGTTCATCAAAATGACTACAAATTTTGATCAGAGTAAAGGTACGTAATTTTTTAAGTTCAGCAATTGATCGTTCATCTATTTGAACAAGTATTTGTCAAGAGGCCTTGCGTTTGGTAAATCTGATAGAATACTATAACCCAATCTAAGGTTGTACCGGAACTGCCTTGCAAATTCAGGACAGTACAGTTTCTGAAACTGAATCACATCTTCCACTTTGTAAAAAACCAGACTAGGTTTTGCCCCAGTCAATAGTAGGTTCTAGTTCTGCCCATTAAATCTCCCCAACGATATATCAAATATGCAAGAAAAGAAGGTAACGAGGTAAGAACGGAAAAATATATTGGAGCTCTAAAGTTAACAAACCGAACTAAATCACCTTGTTGTGAGCAGCTGAGCCTCCATATTGATGGGCAAGTGTATCACCCATATTTTCATAAAATCCCATCAAATGATCAGCCAAAGGTGCATCAAGATCTATCTTGGAAGAATCTAATACTCCTAAAGTGTGAAGCTGGGATCCAAGAGCAGCCAAGCCATATGCAAACTGTGCAACGTTTGTTCTATCGAGACAATCTATACAATTGGTCCTCAAGACTCCATTCTGGAACATCAGTTGCTTTGCAGAATGATTGCCGTTAGCAACATTACCAACTCCACTTAACTTTCTCTCTAAGTTATTGGTATCCTCGTGACCATTATCAAAATGTTTCTGCGGAAACATAGCTCCTTTTTCAGCCTTCCTGCCCAGCATCCAAAACATAATAATTCACAGTTAAAATCTCATGAAGCATCCAACCACGTAAACTTCAAGAACTTGCCCAGTTGCCTGACTTTCAGCAGGTTAGCTTTTCATCCTAGACTCAGATCACTGGCATCAGAAAGAAGAACCTCTTAAATGTGTTTATTTCCAGTGTATTTATATTATTGAAGTTAAAAAGAGAATATACCTAAGTTAGAAGAAGAACCAAGATTAAGAGAAAATTGTTGCATAAAAGAATCGAAACCCAATTAAGAAAATAGAAAGAAAAAAAAAAGAAAGGAGAAGAGCGAAGAATAGCTGCTTCGGGGTCAATAACATAAGGGTAAGTATTTCATTTCAAACTTCCCTGCTAGCTGTGCAGTATGGGTCCAGAAACTTATGACAAAAGACATATTTTCACAAAAGTGACAGCGTTGTACCAAGGTCCTCAAGACGTCAAATGATTTTTCTTGTTAGAACATCTGTCAAATGCTTTGCACCAAGAAGCTAAACGTGTACAAACACAGAGAGTAATATTTTTTTTATGTCCGACAGTTCTCAAGACTACTACAAGTAGTGACCAGACAGAAAACACCAGCAAAGGACAACGACGTATTCTGTCAACGACTGAATAATATACACGACATAGTGACTAGACAATAAAGTGGATGGATAAATTCTTAGCACATCCTCAAGTTATGCCATTACTATATCGGGACTTCGTCATGTTTGTTAGACTTAGAACACAAGTGGAGTACTGCAATCTGTAGAAATGTGGTAAGAGAACTTACTCGGATGATGAGAAACCAAGGCCGCCTTCAGGTTCCGAAGTGGGTGTTACATGACAGTAAAAGAAACCTGTTAAGGTCAGCGCATATGCAGCCACTTTCCCTAGAAGTAATAGAGCGTTGGTTGCTTTGCTGAGAGTACCATAACAGAGAAACAAGTTCCTCCACGTAAGAACAAAGTATCCAGATATTTGACATGAAAAGAGAAAGGAAACCTCAAACCAATCGTAAGAGATACCTCCGAGCATGTTTGTGCAGGTCCCAGTGAAGGAACCGTAGGCGGTTCTCTTCTGATAAATCTTTATTGATATAACTAATAGCATTAGCAAACTCTGTACGAAGAATTGATTCTCGCGGCCTCTTTTCCCGTGTCTGTTTATGCAAAATTATGCAGTACATAAAAGCTAAGATGATAGCCACGTACATCTGTAAACATTCACAATTCTAGAAGAAACTTCAAACTAGGTCAATAGGGGTGTCCCCAGTAGACCAGCAGAAGTGGAGATGCAGAAGAAGCAATGCCAAAAGACAACTTACTTTAATCAAGTTCAGTATGATAATTGGATTTCCATATCTCTTGGAGAGATTTTCAAAGTGAAGTCTGGTTGCTTCATAGTTTTGGTCCTTCCTCGACACTAGAAATAGAAGAACAAAGAAGGCTTCTGAATAAAATTGAAAGGACACACTTTTCATGAAGCAGACAAAGAGCATGGGCATACATATGATATCTGGCTTGATATTCAGACGGGAGGTTTCTTGCGACCAAAATAATGGAATAGAGCCACGGTTCTGCACAACAGAACTTATTTGCACTGGAAGCCCTTCGGGTACATCCTCACAAACTATTTGCTCTGTCTCAACATCGTTAGCAACTCTTCCCTTCTCGTTAACACCGCGTTTTAAATACCTGGAGTTTAAAGCATAACATGAGAGAAACATACAGGTGCCCTATGCCAATCATCATTCACAAAGTTTGCTAACTATGCTTTGATATCATTAAATTAAAAAAGTTTGAACAACACAGAGATGAGTATAGCCTCTGTCAAATTGTAGTTAAAGTTTCCAAGAAAGAAAAAAAAAAATCGTCTAGAGTTTGGTTACATTTGAATTGTCCTACCTGGTGCCGGCATAATGACGTGAACGTCTTGCAATGAGGGTAAGTTTGAAGTCGCGGCCAGCAACAGAGAGCGACTCCTACACTCATTAAGAAACAATTACTACTAGATTGACCAAGTCATGAACCCTGATGACAGCCCATTCATTTACCAGAAGCAGTAAATCATGCATTGAAAACATCACAAAGCCAAACCCAACAATCAACATATGCCTCATGCAATATAAATTTGGAAAATTAAGGAATCTGGATGTCTACATTAGAAAAATTAAGGAAGGCAGTGATAGATTTGGAAAATTATGGATTTGAAAATTTTGTTGTTTGGATGTACGATTACTTTATGAACTTGGAGAATTATGTAAAAGCAAATTTATTTATTACTCTTACTTTAATTCTTATTTTCAATTATACATTACTATTCCCTCTTCCTAATGTTATCTTCTAAATCAATGATTTTCAGACAAATCCAGATCAAGGAGGTCTGGCAAATCAACAATATCCGGCAGGATTAATCCACTGAAGTTCAATTCACTAGCTAAGTTTGTTGGTTATCCCTTTTGCCTATGCAAGCAATCCAGAAAAGCAAATCCATTATAACAGGTTAAGGATGCATAAGTATTACAACAAAAATCAAGAAACAAGCAACTGATGATGAACATTGCATGACATTAACCAGTTCAGCAAATTCTATTACCAAAATAACCAGCACCAAAAGGGCAAAGAAAAATTAAATTACAAAGACTAGGCACGTAATCCATTGATTACCTGCTTGAAGAACCCATATACTAATGCAACAGTCCACTGTGTATTATGAAGGTGATTTCGAATTCCACGAGTAAGGAACTCGTTCCAGACAAACATTGTCTCATAAAGGACTTGGCCTTTCGCTTTCTCACACAAATTCCTTTGAAGACTACGCATAACATGGTATGAGTAGCTAAAATAAAAGTCCTTTGTGAGGTCCACCATGCATAGGAGCTTCTTGTATCTAAACCAGCAGCAGATCACATATAATTAGGCAACAACAGAAGACCCTCAAAAGAAACAAAAGTGTCATCGAGGCACACAACTAAACGGGTGATAAGATGAGCATGACAAGGAAAAAAAATTTATGCTTCTCCAAAGATTACATGTGCAAATTAAATCATTATATCTGGAAAAGCCACTAAACACAAAAATAGGCCATCCATCAGAACATGATAAGTGATTTAAGAAGAAAGGAAGACATCTTTCAGAATTGTTATGGGGTTGAGAACTTTGTCTTCATTCCATAAAAGCAAAATGAATACATTTTACTAGGGTAGAATAGCAGATGAACTAGTATTGAGGCCTATAGATAGTTCACCCTATTGTATGTATCTGTGTAGTGATTAGTCTGCAAACTATGACAATGAAGCCCTCGAAAAATTTTCAACCACAAATATATGATAATAATGATGAAAGTGAGTGGAAGGTCGCAGAAAGTCTTTCAAATATACATAATGAGAGAGGGGGAATGGTGGAATAAAAGATGATCAATCAAAACCTTCCATGCAGCATTTTAATTGTCACAAGAAGTGCTAAAATGAACGCAATGACAAGGACAATTTGTAATACCTGCTCTCGTTCTTAGAATCAACAGTATCAACCTGTGCAGAAGAATTTTGTATTGGAATCATCTCACACTTAGAGACAGCATATACATTATGACCGCATATTGAACCAAGTTTTCTTCTTTTTGTGATTAGCAACATGTAATATGGACCCAGAAACTTCACAAACCCTGAAACAAAAACAGATTAAGAGGGAAAAAAGGCCCTTGCAATGATTAGATAACAAGAGTAATAGACCTCAAGGTGAGTGAGAGTAAAGCCGGAACCACATACCAACTATCCCATAACAAATGGTAAGAAATTTTAAACCGCCAGTGGCCTTGTTTCCTTCATTTATCCGCCTCAACAAATCAGAACATTCACTCTCTGTATAAGTAGTCGAACCTTCACGTATGCTGAGCTCAGAAGGATCTAATCTGTCAATCTTCAGGACTCTCCAACAAGTCCTACCCTTGTCCCTACCTATCATGTAAAATTTCTAAACAACGTAGAAACAGAAGAGCGCATGAGGCATCAAAAAAGCAAATTGCAAAACAATTCTAAGCAAACCCAAATCAGCACAGCATGCAAAGGCAAAGATTTCTAATCCTTCGGTCGGGGAACATATGCAAAATTAATAAAATGCTAACATTTACATGAAGAGCCTAAAACAATCCAGTATAGCCAGAAACAAAGCTTTTATCGCAGAGCATGACCATCACTGCACTGCATTTGCAACACCAAACGAACTAGACTTGAATTTCAACTGCCAAACCGTCGTTAAGGCAGTTAATTAACGAGGGTTAAAAAAGAAAAAAGAAATATTAAATCCTGTACGGAGAGAAGCACCAAGAAGACACAAGTGTTCCAGCACAATTCAGAAAATCGACTCCCAAAATGGGAACCAAGGCTACCATCGAAGCGAGGAGAAGAGGAAGCTGAGCCTATACGACGACGGGAATTAGAAGTAGATCTCAGGAAGATCGAGAAAAAGGAAGATAAATACCGATCGCGTTTCGTAGAGCCTGAATTTCTGCATAGGTAAGTCCATTGGTGGACGGCGAGGCAATTCGCCATTGATTGTGAGAATAGATGTAGAAGGCCCCCCGTTCTCGGCCATGGCTGGAGGCAGGTTTGTTGCTCTGTCACTTCTATCTGGTATCTCGAATTCGGTTCGTAAATAGGCGGCAGATCTCTCCCCGAGCCCCAGGCTCAGGGAATTTATCACAAGCGCATTCAACTTCAAGTCCTGAGATTTCGGCAAACCAAAATTCAGCAGGCCACAATGGCGACACGATCACAGCCCTTTCCCGACGCATATAATCGGGCTTGGCTGCTTCAAATACAACATTCCCCTGTATTCTATTCCAAGCTGAGCTTCCTAATAGAATTCCAGCTCCGTCCGTGCTCCCATTCACCGGGAAATGCAGCACCCGCAGAGCCACCACCACCACCTCCAACAACGATCTTGACCTCCAACGAATCAAGTTTCCCAGCGAATCACGCCAAGGAGATCACCGAACAAAATATCGAAGAAGAATGACTTTAGTCCAATCGTGACGAGCACGAAGAGAACGGAGATTTTCCAAAAAATAAAGATGGCAGAAGATCGAGAACGAGGAGAGGAGGAGGAAGGGTGGATTTGTGAGGGTTCGAGAAAAGTAAAATAAAAAAGAGGAGTTAATTGCATGGTTGGTCACTGACATTACAAAAAACGTACATGTTTGGTCACTGAAAATATTTAAATCCAATCTTGGTCACTCAAATTAGTTAAATGGTTCAAATTTGGTCACTATCCGTCCAACTCCGTTAAATATGTCTGATGTGGCAGTCAATCCTTAAAGTTGACCGTTAACTCGGTGACGTGGCAATTTAAAAATAATACATAAAATAAATTTTAATCTTCTACCATTTCCAACTCATTTTCACAATAAAGTAAAATAAAAAATAAAAAAAATAATTATAAATGGCTTCTACTGTTTGGTCACATGCCGCAATCCCCTCCGGAAACAGAGAGAAAAAAAGAGGATAAAAAATGGCTTCAGGGTTCCCCGGCGGAGGAGGAATCGGCGGCGGTTCATCCTCAGAGAAATGAAAAAAAACTCACCACCAAGGAGTTAAGGTAACCCATAAGGTAACCCAAGGCGACTTTGCTCTCGGAAGTCAAAATCTGCTCCGCATCATCCAATGTGGTGACATTAGAGATTCCAGGTCCAATCTTCTTCTTAATCCACGTAACAATAGCCTCTCTACACGAAATCCGAAACTTCAGCAACCAAATTCAACAGATAAAATTAAAAGTAAAAAACAGAGCCGAGAGAAAAAAATCGATCACTGACTTGGTCCTCTGGCGAGGGTAAGGCTTGCGAACCCCGTCCACGAAGAAATACAGAGTGGGAAACCCTTGCACATCGTGCTCCTGAGACAGCTCGCTCTCCTCCGTGGCGTCCACTTTAGCCAGCGCGACATCCTTCTCGTCCTTCAGCTCCGTGGCCGCTGCCGCGTACTCGGGGTAGTGCTGGGCGGGGGATGAGGAGGAGGAGGAGTCGTCTTCGAGGAAGGTGAGGTCCTCGTCGTCGTCGTCGTCGGTGGCGGAGGAGGAGGCTGAAGCCGGATTGGAGGCGAGGAGGAAGGCGGTGAGGGCGAGGAGGAGGAGGTAGCGGGTCGACATTGTTGTTGTTTGAGATGGTTTGACTTGGGATTTTGGGGAAAGAAGATCTGACTGACTGAGAGAGACTGAGATAAATTTTTCCCATCTCTGGACTCCGAAGATATGCTAGAGGAACCATCACGACGTTGCCCTGGAGGGGAAAGCTCATCCTTAGAATAATTGTTTTTATTTTTTTATTTTACTTTATTGTGAAAATGAGTTGGAAATGGTAGAAGATTAAAATTTATTTTATTTATTATTTTTTAATTGCCACGTCACCGAGTTAACGGTCAACTTTGAGGGTTGACTGCCACATCAGACATATTTAACGGAGTTGGACGGAGAGTGACCAAACTTGAACCATTTAACTAATTTGAGTGACCAAGATTGGATTTAAATATTTTCAGTGACCAAACATGAACGTTTTTTGTAATCTCAGTGACCAACCATGCAATTAACCCAAAAAAGAGGTGTATTTTTTGAACTGAATTCTTATTTGTCGCCCTAAGTTTTTGAATTTATAGCCCTAAACTTACATATATGGACGAATTTACCCCTCATTTAACCTAAACCCTAAATTGACCCACCCTTTCCTTACCCTATTTTCGCCTAAGACTCACCCTGCCGCCACCCTCACCCCTCACCCAGTTTTCCGGCGCCATCCAGAAGGAGAGGAAGTCGCCACCGAAGTCGCCGCCACCCTCACCCCTCGCCCAGAGCTCCGGCGCCATCCAGAAGGAGAGGAAGTCGCCGCCACCCTCACCCAGACTCGCCTCCACCACCAAGACCCGTCGCCGCCACCGAGACCCGTCGCCGCCAGCATCTTCGCCCAAGCCCAGATCTGCCGCACTGTCGCCGAGGAGGAAGGAGAAGCCTCCAAATCATCGTCCGCCTCTAGCCCTCTGCTTCTGCTCAGACCCGCCAGAGGTAAATCTCTCTCTCCCTCTCTTCTCGTTTGGTTGAGTTGCGCCGACGTCGCGGGTTGAAAACCCGTCGCCAGTGGCTAGAGGCAGGTAGGGCGATCGATTTGGCCGGTGGTAGACGCAGGCAGGGCGCCCGCACGAATCCGGCGGAGCCAGGTAGCCCACCTGCCCCGACCCTGGTCCGATCCGGTCTCCGACCCGCCCTGACCCTGGTTCGACCCATTTTTCGACCCGTCCTGACCCTGGTTCGACCCGTTTTCCGACCCACCCGACCCGTTTTGATTTTTTTTCAATTAAAATGCAAATGTTAATGATTAGAATGTTCATTTTAATTAATAATATATAAATTTGAATGGTAAATTATAATCAATATATGACATTTTATAATGGGAAGGAAGAAAAGAATCTGTTTGTTGCGGTTGCTGTGTGATGAGAGGATGTTAATTAGCATTTGACAATATAAGTAGTGTTTGAATTGAAAAAGTTGTTGATTGTTAATAATGATTATAAATAGTTAATGAATATAGGATTGTTAATTGCAATACTAAGAAGAATTAATTTTATTTTCTTGATAGTTGGTAAAATAAGCGAAAGAAAGGGTAAGAATTAGTACGAGGGTTTGTGATGATTAATATAATTAGTATTTGACAATATAATTTGTATTGGAATTCATAAATTTTATGGTTGTAAATAATTATTATGTATAGTTAAAAGATGTATGGTTGTCAATTACAATTCTGAAAATAAATAATTTTATTTTCTTGATAGCAGGCAACAATGAGCGAAAGAAAGGGCAAGGAAAAATCGAGGGTTCTCGGACGCAACGTTACAGTATCTGAGCGGAAAAAACGTCAAGAGGAGTCAGATAGACTTCGTGAGGAGGAGCTTCAGGAGAAGCTTTCGCGTCGTCAAGCTGCAGTGGATCCTCCCCCTCATAGCTATGTTTCCCAGCTGATACCAGGCATCACATTTGGCTGTTGGATATTTTATGTTTTGATGTTGGATATTTCTTAAGATTGATGTTGAATATTTCTTAAGGTGCATTTGGATGTGTTATGTTTGAGTGTTTATATACTAATTAAAATTTTTAACCACTACTTATATATCTAACAAAAACACAACAAACAACAATTTTTAATGATCACACAAAATTACTTGCACCATCGGGCGGGTAGGGAATATGGCTCAACCAGCGGTTAGAAGGGTAGAAAATATGGCTCGACCTCCGGGAGGGCGGGTAGGATATATGCCCTCATCTCTAGGAAGGCGGGTTCACAACATGCTTTGTCCACGGCCTGTGCTGGAAGGGTATATTCCTGCACCATCCGTCAGGTGGGTGTGCAACATGCTCAACCCACGGTGAAGATGGGTAGGTGAAATGTTTGGTCCGTGGTGCAGGCAGGTTTTCAACCCGCCTAGTCTATTTTTTCAGCAACAATAATTGTGAACACAATTGATTTATTTCAACTAAATCCACATAAATTTGAACACAAAATCATTGATTAATTCCACCTAAAACCACATACATTTTAACACAAAATGTCAATCCTTGATAATTGCACCTAAATCCACACAACTTTAAACATAAACACACACTAGACACATCAATAACATAATCAATCTAAGGCAACAATGTTTAATCATTCTCTTCATCGTCAGTGGGTGGATAATGTCCTCCAAGGATGGCATACAATTCCTGCTCCTGTTGGTATAACTCATCTCAATGCGGAATTGTGCTCATATTCCCAAAATGAGTCCATTGTGGACTAAAATATGGCATTGGTGTCACCCCATCGACATTGTCGATAACTAGTAGGACCCAATGAGCCCCAGTAAATCAATGCGAACCCAATGTTGAAGTTCTTCTTCACCAGACTAACACCAATCAACTGAACCAGTGGCTGCTTATACTTGTTAGTCTTGTACGTCGAGTCTATCAAAACAACAAAATACCATGCCAACAACATCCAAATCTACTCAGGATGGCATAGGAAGAGTCTAGTAACACGACGTTGATCATCAAATTCACACTCAATAAAGTAGCCAAGACGTTGAGCTTCTATCAATGTCCACCGCATAGGTTTCAACCCACCCAATCTCTCACGCCTAATTTTTGCTGTCTCATTATAAATCTGAGTCATGTTGTGATGAGCATCGTACTTCATATTGAGCAAACTTCTGATATCTTTGCGGGATCAGACGTATATGAGTTGCTCCTACTACCATGGTTGCAATCCATATAGATCCGCGGATTGCCTTCTCCAACGTTTCTCTTGACTGATGCCACTATTAAGGAAAAACTATTACTCATGGCAATCTCCTTTGCCGCTTTACAAGCTTGATCATGGGCATCATAAACATCACTTAGAAACAATGATGTGCAATCAACATTGTCACCCTCATTAACTCCGGATCCACCCTACAAGAAATACAAGGTAAAAACATTTACTTGTGCAACAATTATGTTACGATAATTAAATTATAAAAAATAACTATTTACCGAATCATCCATAATAGTTTCCTTGTTAGTAAATGATGGTGGCACAAGATTTTTATCCTCCTTCCTAATGAACACAATTAACAACGAAACTTAATGAACATAAATATTATAATTTATGTGAATTTTCATTAAAAAAGGTCCATGACATCACAAAATTAACTCGAGCATGTTCAAAACTAGACCAGACCAAGGGACGGGCATGTTAAAAACAAGAATGAACCATGGGTCGAGCATGTTGAAAACATGCCGAGACAGGAGGACGAGCATGTTGCGAGCATTCCTGGAGGATGGAACGGGCAGGTTGACAACGCGTTCGTTCCATGGCTGACGCAGGGTTTCAACATGCTTGACCACCGGTCGAGGCAGATTTTCAACATGCTCGACTTGTTTTCCAGAAGAAAAAAAATTGCAAACGAAATCTTACCTTTAGTCCGAGTCCCTGCATGTTATGACGATCGAGACCGACTACTTCTCTACCTCCGGCAAACTCGCCAGAATCCGGCGAAAATTTATCAATGTAGAAGATTGTAGTTGGATTTTGTGTTGTGTGGTTTGGTTTTAATTTTTGGTTTGATATTTCTGTTTTGTGTTGGAAGAAAGAGTTAAATGGGTTGGGTTAGATGGTTGGAGCATTAATTCTAGGTGGTTGAACCATAAAATTAAATGAAGGGTTGTTTTGTAAAGTTGTATGGTTTAGGGCGACGAAATTTAAAAATTTAGGGCGACGAATAGTAACTCTCTTTTTTGAAACACCAGCTAATTATTGATGCTGGTTCTTTGAATTTTTCAGTTTGATTATTTGTTTGATATTTTCATTTTTTGTTTGTTTTAACTTTTAAGTGTCTTGTTGCGAGAATGAAATGATCTATGAGCATTTATTATTTAGTCTGTTATGATGTTTTGTTAGTATTATTAGTCTAAAATTAATTTTTTATTAGCAAGTTTGTTAGTAATATTGACTTGACAATACGATATTGAATCAGAAGACATATATGGAGGTCAACTACCCATTTATGTGTCTTCTGGTTTTGATGTCGGACTCCGACGAAGAACAGGCGCCCGCCGGAGGAAGAGGCCGTGGAAGAGGACGGCAGGCACGCGGCCGGTACTGAGGTGAGCGAGTCACCGGTCGGAAGCGGTGGCGGTTTTTTCCCTGCTTATATATATATATATATATATATATATTTGCAGTTCCTAGGATTCTTGACACTTATTCCACGAGACGACCACCTGCGACGATTGATACAACTCCGGTCGATTCTGTACTTCTTTTGCCACATGGTCAACATCGTGCCTACTCTGTTTGGCAAAACGATGTAAGTATTTTATTTCATTAAAGTTCATTAACAAGTTAGATTAGAATTTTGTGAAATTAGTATTAGTTTGATTAGATATATTTTACTAAATTAGATAGATTTTACTAAGTGAACTTAACTGAATATTAGAATTGCATGTGAAATTTTGTGAAATTAGTATTAGTTTTGATTATATCAAATCCTACTGTGAACTGGTACAATCTTATGATCTATCAATTCTGTGGAGTGTGGAGCAAACTATAGGTGAAAATGGTTTGGTTGATGAAATTATTATCTAATAGCAAAATAATCAAACAAAACAAGCAAATTAAAGTTGCCGGGTTGAAATTAATGGGAGAAGGCTCTGGG